ATTCCATTTCTTCACATCAAATGACTGGAACCAAAAATCAAAATAAAGCATATACATTGTGTTTTTAATCCGATCCATGAATGTCATTTGAGCACTTAATTCAGACATAACAATGGGCACATAGGAAGGAGGGAATGAAAGTCCACCACTGTACTTTTCATATGTGTAGCCAGGAGTAAAGCGGAGAGTGTATACAAATGGTACTTTAAGTAGCTCAGCCAGCAGCTCACCACAGGGACCAACTGCATCTGCAAGAACCACATCAAATTTTGATTCATGTAGTTTCATCATAAGTTTCTTGTTTAAAACTACATTTCTGCAGAGCTCTTGAATTGTATCAGAATATTCCTTGAAAACTTTTTGCACTAATGAAAAAAATTCCCAAAAGTCATCTTTTGGAATATCATAAATTAATTTATGGATCCATTTGGAGAAAAGTTCTTCCAAATGTTGTTCACTTGATGGTGCAGGGTAAACCTCAAAATTAATAGCAGATGTTGTGTTGGGATTAATAAGAATGGAAGCTGTTGATGTCAGAACAGTCACCTCATGACCTCTCTGGAGAAGTTCATCCAGGATTGTCTTTATGTTGATCCAATGGCTGTATTCTGTGGGCCAAACCAGCACTTTTCCACAGCTTCCAGAGCTAAAGTAACACATCAGTTGTATCAGCAGAAGAACCGAGTTCCTTTTCACAGACATATTGGTGCAATGCAATGCTTCTTTTACATTAGCAGCTCTTCTTTTTTTCAATTTCTCAGGCTGATATGTCTCAGGATAAATCAATTCAAAGTTAAAGTATAACTCCTGCACTTCAAAGTCCAATTGTACAGGCTGATCATGTGGATGATAGAAGGACAAACACAAGTAGAGTACCTCAAGGTTATAAATGTTTGTATGACCTAGAGGGTTCATCTGTCCTCTGGTGCCTCTCTCTCTTTCTTTCTCTCTCTTCCTCTCTCCTTCCAGATGCTGACATGAGCTGAGGGGCTTTTCTTTGCTGGGACTTCCCTCACTGATGTGCTACTTCATCTTAGGCCCAGAGCAATGGAGTTAGCCATCAATGGACTGAGACCTCTGAAACCTTAAGCCCCAAATAAACTTTTTCTCCTCTAAGTTGTTCTTACGTATTTTGGTCACAGTGATGAAAAAGTTGACAAAGTAATCACACTTCTCAATATTGTACAACTAAACCTCAACAGAAACATGGGTGGTGACAAGCTATGTTCAAATTACAAGACTCCCCTACTGAAAATATGATTTCAGTGATGCAGATACTTGAATCAAGTCTACCTTACTGTTTTTAAGAGTTATTGTTAATATTTTTTTAAGGGTAGTGTAAAACATTCTAATCTAATCTAATGTTATTGTGTTTTTTTATGTTCTTGGAAGCAGACAATACATAGGAACTGGGGCAGGAGTTGTGGCTTAGTTATAGTGCACTTCCCTGACAATTGTGAAGCCCTGGGTTCGATCTTCAGCACCACATAAAAATAAATAGAATAAAGTCATCATGTTCATATACAACTAAAAAATTAAAAAAATAAAATACCTAGGAATTTATCTCACCTTTAGATATTTATCATTATTGTTTTACTAAGCAATGTGTTGTATTCAAGTTATCTGAAGAATCATTTTATTTTAGTTATTATGTTTTTCAATTTAGGAGTACTAAAAGGAAGTTACAGATGAAACTTTATTCAATTTCTCTCATCTCTGTATTCCTGTATAGCTTATCTTATAATTTGTTGAACTTTTCCAATCACCACCCCTTAAAACACTCCTTCAATAAGGTTAAGATTTTTATGATTATGGAGATATGCTTTAGAATTTCAATGAAATGGTTCCAAGAGTCCTGTTTAGAATCTAAGAGTATACATGTATAGCTACACATTTAAATTATCGTACTTCTTAGGATATTATTTCCATGTGGAACTTTTGTCCTGATATTCAGTTGATACTTTGGTAGAATGTGCTATATGTAACTGGATGTGATTGGTGTTTCTTCTCACCTTTCTGTGTTCCACAGGGAGCACTTATACCACAATCAAAGTGGTTCAGCCAGCACTTCTCCAGTGTAGATTTGGTCAACCTTTTGATCAAATCACCTCACCTTTTAGAAAGCTCCTGGTAAAGACATGTTTTCTTGGGATTCTTTGAAAATTATTCTTATTTGAAATCATCAATACATACCAACTGCTAAATTATTATCTAACATAAGAGCAATCCCATATCATTCAATTTAATCTCTGTTGTGTGTTAGTCAACTTTGCATTGTTATTCTAATAAAATTCCTGAGATAATGAACTGATAAGGAAGTAAATATTATTTTGGCTCACAGGTTGGGACATTTCACAGTCTGTTGGCACCATTGCTTTGGGCTGATTTTGAGGGGGTACATCACGGTAGGAGAGTATGACAGAGAAAGTGACTAGGAATTAAAAAAGAGACATAGAGAGAGGAAGAGAAGGGGCTTAGATCCCAATATTCCTTTCAAGGGCATATGCCAAATGACCTAACTTTCTTCCACTGGGCCTAACAACCTAAAAATTCTACCACCTCCCAGTGGTGCCGTGAGCCAGGGACAAATCCTTTGGGACACATTCAATATTCAAACTATAAACTCTTCTCCCCACAAAAGGAAGAAGATGTGGAGGAGACAAAGTTTCACTACTTGTGTTTTTAAAACCATATATTGCTTTTCTTTTCTTCTTTGCATTTTATATGCATGATTAGTTCTTTTCTCACTGTATAATAATGAGCAACTTTTGAACATAAAATGTGTATTTTCTAATATAGAGAGGTTATATTTAAAACAATTTTTAGAGAAAAGATAAAAAAGCTAAAATTTTTCTAAGTATTGACCATGCAGACTGTACATTGTCCAGAGCATTCTTCAAAGTATAATTATTTTCTGTAGGGAGACCATTGTGTTATTTCTGTGACTCTCATGGGGCATCAAGGTATTCTGTGTGATTCCAGTAAAATATAGCAGCATTAATTTATGTTCAATCTTTGTCTCACAGGTTTGTGGTCCAAAGCTATCTATGCAGTAGATGATATTACACAAAAAAGATAGAGTAATACAACCTCAGTTGGTGAACTAATTGCAAACATGTGTTTTTGCTCATTCTGTTATATCCTTATGAAAATAGTACAAGCTCAATTTGAGAAAATTCAGAAAATTGTGGAAAAGTATAAAAAATGAAATAAGATTGACTTTCTACTTTTTCATGTAATCTATTATATTTCTTCTTTCTCCTCAGTTTCCAGCTAAACTCATAGTGAGTCTGACTTAGGCAAACTATACCTTCTTGAATAAAATCTTTTGTAATAATGCTTTATGCAGATAAGGTTTTAAATAATTCAGCAAGAAAAGATAATCACATTATATCCAGTGTTCAATTATGAGAGTGGGCCACTGGGTGAATTCATTTGAAGGATTAAGAGGAAATAATAATAAGCTAATGACACTAAATATTTTCTTCCATAGCTTAACTGTAGAAAGCAGATAGGAATGATTATGTTTCTAATGCCAGAGACATTCTACTGCAAAGTGACTTAGCTGGAAGAAGGCAAATGTCTTTCCAGATGCTCAGTAGAGAAGTGATGCTGAGGCTGGATTTATACTAAAAGACAGCAGCAATATGGCCTCTCAGAACCAAAGGGAACTGTTAGACTTTTTACAGGATTGTAATTATTGAGTGTTTTTCCCAAGAAAGTTAAATGTACACAATTCTCCAAACTAAAGTTAAAGAAGTTTGAAAATTTGAGAAATCATATTGATATTATGAGGAATTCTATAATCTCAAGAGGAAAAAAATGCTTAAAAATGAATAAATAATCTGAATTTCCATTTTTCACAAAAGAGAAATGGGCAACAAATATATGCAAAGATCCTGTCCATCACTAATCCTGAAGAAAATGCAAATAAAAACAACCACAAGAAATAATCAAATATACATAACAAGGGCTATACTCAAAAAGACAAAAAAAAAAAAAAAAGAAAGAAAAATGTTGGCAAGGGTGCAGAGTAAGAGGCACTCTTACAGACCACTACTATAATGTAAATTAGAACAACCACCCTGGAAAAGAAGTTTCTTGAGAAACTAAAAATACATCTCACCTGGAGCTCAACTTTTCCACTAAGGAATAAAAAGAATTAAAGAAAAAGACATCAGTAGTATATCAAAATGATTCCTGTACCCCCATGTTATTGCAGCTCTCCCAACATTAGCCAGGATAGGAAATCAAGTAACATATTCATTTTTAGATAACAAAAGTGAAATATATATGCAGTGAATTATTATTCAGCCATAAAAATGGAATGAAATCCTATGCTTGTAGGAGTTAGAAAGGAACTGGTGAACATCATGTAAAATAATATAAACTAGACCATAAGAGAGAGTACTGTGTGTCTCCTTCATGTGTAAAATTAACAAAAGTTGATTTCATGGAAGTAGGTTTAGCATTATGCTAAGCAGAATCTAGGTAGGTTAGGAGTGTGTGGGAATAGAGATGTTGGACAATAGGTACTAAACCGAAGTTAGTTAGCAGGAAGAAGTCCAATTGTTCTGTGCCAAGCCAGGTGACTGTAGGGTACAACTTTTCATGTATATCTAATAAAGATATGGAAAAGAGGAGGTTAAAAGTTGGTTTTTATAGAAGTTATAAATAAGTATTTAAATGAAGTAAATGAAAATGAACTGGATTTGACATTATATATATTATCCATGTATCAAGTTTTCTACTCTGCATAATAATGGTTACAAAATATAAAAAGATTAATAATTTCAGAAATTTGAAGTTTTGAAATATTATCTAATATTTCTTCAAATTAGTTTACTTTTCCATGTGTTCTGTTTACATTTAGCTACACAGAATACATATTTTTAGCATCACATTGATTGAATAATAAGAAGTCATACAGTCACTGCATCAGTTTGATTTTCACTTTTAAAAGTCCTGATTTAGTAAAAGCACACATCACATTGTATAAATCAATTAATGTTTGAAAATTAGGCTAAAAATAGGAGCAAATCTATTTTCACTGTCAAGGGAATCTGTCTATACATATATCTAAGTGAAAAAAAATGTTATATTCACAAAGGGACTTTGATGACTATATTCAATGCTTTGAGCAAATCAGTACTTGTCCTTGTGTTAAAATCCAATCTAACAGCTGCTCTCTTGATCTTCATGTGAGAAATGTTATCAGGTTGATCCACAAACAATGGAATGCCAACCATAGGGATCCCATGAGAGATGGCCTCATAGATGCCATTGGTTCCACCAGGAGTTATAAAAGCCCTGGTTTTTGGATGACCTATGATTAGAAGAAATTAAGGCACTCTGCCAATTTTGAGTCATAAATAAGATCAGAAATGCACAACATGAGCCATTGGAGATGAATTATTTTCTAGATATCAGATTATTATAACCATGAAACTGCACTGAAATTATGAAGGCTACATGGAAGTATGTGAATTGAGACTTGAAAGTGGAAGCAAGGTTGCCATGTAAATAAAAAGAAAGAGAACACTCTGCGTAGTAGCAATATCATGTGTAGTTTAAAAGTGGAAGTATGAGAATGTGTACAATTAAAGAAATTGTGACAGCTTTGAGTCAGTTATGCATTATCCAAGGCAGCAGAAAGTAGGGTAGTTGTGGTGCTGGAATCAGAGGTAGGACTGACTACACTTCATCATGAATTGAAGTACACTTCACAATTATAATCAAAGATTGTTTTTATAATGGAAAATTCAGAGAACATTGTGAGAAAGGAGAGGGATCTTTTTTTATGGCATTTCAAATAGCTCTGCTGTATGTCAAAGTATAGGTGTAAAATTGCAGAAATAGAAGAAAAAGAGACAATGCAGAAATTGATAAAAAAATTCACTGAGAGAGGTAATTACAACTGAAATATAGATAATTTATTATGCCATGTATAATAAAATGTGAAGAGTTGATCAATCTCCATTTTCCCTGAAAAGAGAGTAAATATAAAGAACTTAGGTAATTAATGACTTTTTCATTAATATTTCTAATACAATTATGAATGACTCAACTATTATCTTTATGATTAAGTTTTTTTTTTTTTTTTTAAAGAGAGAGTGAGAGAGGGAGAGAGACAGAGAGAGAATTTTTAATATTTATTTTTTAGTTATCGGCGGACACAACATCTTTGTTTGTATGTGGTGCTGAGGATCGAACCCGGGCCGCACGCATGCCAGGCGAGCGCACTACCGCTTGAGCCACATCCCCAGCCCTATGATTAAGTTTTTTAAAAATATATTTTCATGATTCATTTCCCAAATCTTACCAAGGAGGTCACCTTCGGGAATCCACTTATACAGTCGAATGTTGAGTCCTAATGTATCTGGTTTCTTACCATCAAATCTCCATAAAATCTGTTAAGGTAGAGCAGACCTCTTATTCATTGAGACAACTTCAAAATATAGCAGGTTAAAATATGGAAGAGATTATGAAATTTCATAGCCTAATGCTTCTGATACAACAGATAATGAAATGAAAAATAGAAAAAGATATGATAATGTGAACAACTTAAATGGTGATTTAAATAGAGGACATTTTTATGTACATATTTTTATATTTAACAATGTTTGCTGCTATACGACCTCCAGGGTTCATAAATATTTGACAAGCTAAATGGTTTTATCAATGTGATATACATGTATTTAAATATTGATGGTTATAATAATTCTATTGTAGGACAAAAATCATTAAAAATTTCTAATGGGCTCCCCCATTTATTAATCTATATTTATAGTGCTTATCAACTTTTAAATTTAATGTTACACTTTTTTCTTTTGTTTTTTATTTCTTATTTTTATTATTATTTTTTAAAACATTTATTTTTTTTATTTATATTTATATGTAACAGTGGAATGCATTACAATTCTTATTACATATATAAAGTTCAATTTTTCATCTCTTGTTGTATACATAGTATACTGACACCAATTGGTTTCTTCATACATGTACTTTGGATAATAATGATCAGCACATTGAACATTCATTAGTTACTCCATGCCCCCTTCCCTTCCCTCCCACCTCTCTGCCCTATCTAGAGTTCATCTATTCCTCCCATGTTCCCTCTCCCTATTCTACTATGAATCAGATTTCTTATCTAAAAGAAAACATTTGGCATTTGGATTTTAGGGATTGGCTAACTTCACTTAGCCTTATCTTCTCTAACTCCATCCATTTACCTGCAAATGCCATGATTTTATTCTCTTTTATTGCTGAGTAATACTCCATTGGGCATATATCCCACATTTTTTTAACCATTTATCTATTGAAGGGCATCTAGCTTGGTTCCAAAATTTAGCTATTGTGAATTCTGTTGCTATAAACATTGATGTGGCTGTGTCCCTGTAGTATGCTGTTTTTAAGTCCTTTGGGTATAGACAGAGGAGAGGGATAGCTGAATCAAATGGTGGTTCCATTCCCAATTTTCCAAGAAATCTCCATACTGATTTTCATATTGACTGCACCAATTTGCAGTCCCACCAGCAGTGTATGAGTATACCTTTTTCCCCACATCCTCACCAACACTTATTGTTGTTTGTCTTCATAATAGCTGCTATTCTGACTGGAGTGAGATGAAATCTTATAGTGGTTTTGATTTGCATTTCTCTAATTGCTAGTGATGCTGAACATTTTTTCCAATGTATTTCTATTGATAGTACATCATCTTCTGAGAAGTGTGCCTTCAGGTCCTTGGCCCATTTATTGATTGGGTTATTCGGATTTTGGGGTTTTTTTTGTTTGTTTGTTTGTTTGCTTTGTTTTTCGGTGTCTAGCTTTTTGAGTTCTTTATATACCCTAATGACTAGTGCTCTATCTGATGTGTGAGGGGTAAAGATTTGCCACCAAGATGTAGGCTCTCTATTCACCTCACAGATTGTTTCTTTTGCTGAGAATAAACCTTTTAGTTTGAGTCCATCCCATTTATTGATTCTTGATTTTAATTCTTGTGCCCAGGGAATCTTATTAAGGAAGTTGGGGCCTAATCCCACATGATGGAGATTGGGGCCTCCTTCTTCTTCTATTAGACACAGGGTCTCTGGTTGTATTCCTAAGTCCTTGATCCATTTTGATTTGAGTTTTATGCATGGTGAGAGATATGGGTTTAATTTCATTTTGTTGCATATGAATTTTCAGTTTCCCCAGCACCATTTGTTGAAGAGGCTATCTTTTCTCCAATGCATGTTCTTGGCAACTTTGTCTAATATAAGATAATTGTAGTTTTGTGGGTTAGTCTCTGTGTCCTCTATTCTGTACCATTGGTCTACCAGTCTGTTTTGGTGCCAATACCATGCTGTTTTTGTTACTATTGCTCTGTAGTATAGTTTAAGCTCTGCTATAGCCATGCCACTAGCTTCACTCTTTCTGCTAAGGACTGCTTTAGCTATTCTGGGTCTCTTATTTTTCCAGATGAATTTCAGATTGCTGTTTCTATTTCTATGAGGAACATCTTTGGAACTTTAATTGCAATTTCATTAAATCTGTATAGTGCTTTTGGAAGTATGGTCATTTTGATAATATTAATTCTGCCTATCCAATAGCAAGGTAGATCTTTCCATATTCTAGGGTCTTTTTTGATTTCTTTCTTTAGAGTTCTGTAATCTTCATTATATAGATCTTTCACCTCTTTTACTAAGTTGATTCCCAAGTATTTCATTTTTTTTGAGGTTATTGAGAATGGGATAGTTTTTCTCATTTCCCTTTCTGAGGCTTTGTCACTGATATACAAATGGGTTTGATTTACTGGTGTTGATTTTATATCCTGCCACTTTTCCAAATTCATTTACTATTTCTAGAAGTTTTCTTGTGGAAATTTTAGGGTCTTCCAGTTATAGAATCATATCATCAGCAAATAGTGCCAATTTGCGTTCTTCTTTTCCTATATGTATCCATTTAATTTATTTCATTTGTCTAATTTCTCTCACCAATGTTTCAAGAACTACATTAAATAGAAGTGGTGAAAGAGGGCACTCCTGTCTTGTTCCAGTTTTTAGAGGGAATGCCTTTAATTTTTCTCCATTTAGAATGATGTTGGCCTGAGACTTAGCATAGAAAGCCTTTATGATGTTGAGACATGTTCCTGTTATCCCTAATTTTTCTAGTGTTTTGAACATAAAGGAGTATTGGATTTTGTGAAATGCTTTTTCTGCATCTATTGAGATGATAATATGGTTCTTATCTTTAAGTCTATTGATGTGATGAATTACATTTTTGATTTCCATATGATGAACTAACCTTGCATCCCTGGGATGAAACCTACTTGATTACTTTTGTATTCAATTTGCCAGAATTTAATTGAGATATATTTTTGTATTCAATTTGCCAGAATTTAATTGAGAAATAATTCTTGTAGTACCCATGCAGATTGTCTGTATCTCACCTTGATGTTGGGCTTCCAGACCCTGCTGGTGTCCCTCAATGTGTGCTACTGCATCCTGGATCTGGGAACTGTATAAGTTGGAGTGTGTAGATCTGGGCCACTGAGGTTGACCTCTCATGGTAGTCTGCTGGTCAGAAGGGGCAGTCCTGAACCACAGCCTAGGCTCTGGCGAGGTCTGCCCTGCTGGGAAGGGGCTGGACCAGGCTTGCTATAAGCCTGGGCCCTGCAAAGGCAGCTGTGGGTGGATCTGAGCCTTTGTGCCTGACCTCCCACTAATCTGCTGGTTGGAAGGGACTTTCTTTCCCCCAAAGCCTAGGCTCTGGCAGTGTCTGCCCCCTGGGGGAGGGGTGAACTGAGCCTACTGAGATCCTGGATCCCCCTGGGCTGATGTGTGTGGTCTGGGCTGCATCTGGGTTCCTGTGGTAGTCTGCTGGTCAGAGGCTAGGCTTTGGTGAGTGTCTGCCCTGTATCAAAAGCAGTGGACCTAGGCTGCTGTGGGCCTGGTCCCCACAGAGGCTGGTGTGTGTAGCTCCACTTTTTTTCCTTTTGAGTGGTGTGTGAGAAAATTTACTCAAACATATTTCCTGAGAATAAATTTTTGTGGTAGTGTTTGCTCTTGTGTGATCATGTTTCTCTAAGGCAGAGAGTCCATGGTAAGGGCAGCTTCCTGTTTCCTTCCTGTCTCCTGTCCAAGACATTTTCAATCTTGAGAAAGGAGCAGAGCAAGTCACTAGGGCAGGTTGATTTTTCTTTTTCTCTAAGTCTGGTTGGTTTGGTAGTTATCTTGGTTTTCCTACTCTGAATAGAATGAAGGACAGCTCCAGGAATAGGCCCTTTTTATCATTTAGGAGAAGAATGGAGGCCAAGATTATGTAGGAAGATGGCAATCTGTGATGCATTTTGACTTTTTAAGACCTACTTATTGTCATTGTGTTGGTGCTCATTCAAACTTAACTTCTTTGGTATCTACATCGTTCTCAGGGGTCCTGCATGGAAAAAAAGAGGACAAGGCAGGGCAGAATTTGGTATTTTGGTATATCTGTCATAATAATATAATATTATATTCACACTGAACCTATGAATATATTTGTGCTTTAGCATAATGTTAATGCTGACTTTTTAAAATCAGAAATTATCTCTGCACTGTTTTAACAGTTGCTATATATATTTGGTTTTAAAAATGAATACTGAGATAAATTTATATATACCACAAGTATGCATCTTTTGCAAGGAAAATCATTTATAAGACCCTTCACAGAGTTAAACAGACTCTTTCCACAATTCTATACCATTATCTAACCTTTTTAGGAATCTGGGCAAGAGTTAATGCAATCATTTCGGCCCTTTCTTTCATCAAGTTTCCAATCATTGACCCCATTGAAATAAATCACAACACCATTCTCTCCTGAGCTCTGGACAAGGTCTTCCATTTCCTGTGAAGGAAAGAATTTGCTCTATCACAAATCTAGCAACAAAGCAAAGATTTATTCAAATAAGGAGAGAAAAAATATTTTCAGGACATACTAAATTAGTGGCTTTTTTAAAAAAAATTAAGTTCATATGTACATAACATAAATATATAATTTTAACCTTTTTTGAGGTACATAGTTCAATAATGCTACACATACACATATCCTAATGCCAACATTTGTAGAACACTATTACTTTGTTAAACCAAGAAATTATATAAATTGGACACAATTATTGTTTTCTCACTCTGATCTTTTACTACCAATACTTCTACTTTCTGTTTCTCTAAATTTGTGTAGTATAGATACTTAATACATATGGAAGGTTTTTGTTGTTGTTATTTCTTAAATATATTGTTGTTGTTTTTAGTTGTAGATGGACACAATACCTTTATTTATTTACATATGGTGCTGAGGATTGAACCCAGTGAATCACATGTGATATGCAAGGAAAGAGCTCTACCACTGAGCCACAACTCTAGCCCCTTTACTGGGGTTTTTTAAAAAAATATCTTTATTCTACTTATTCATTTGTATGTGGTGCTGATGATCGAACCCAGGGCCTCACTCTACCGCTGAGCTATAGCCTCAGCCTCCCTTTACTGGATTTTTTTTTACAGTGTAGTTTAAGTAAGTTTCATCTGGGTTGTGGCACAGTTTCACTATTTCCTATGTATTATAGGGTAAGTAATGTCCCAGGAATGTAAGTTATATAAGATATACATATATTACAAATAGCCTATCTGTGTATCCTCTTAGACACTTACTTTGCTTCCAAGACTTCACTTTTGGCAATAGTGTTGCTGTGGTTATGTGTGTGCAAGTTACTCTTCAAAACTTATAATCACCCAAATTGGCTTCCATAAGACATTTCTCTTTCTTTTCATCACCACTCCCTCCCTCCTCTTATTGTTTTTAACACCTTCATAGTTCCCCTAGTATCTTCACTCCCTTTCATGTGCTTCCTTTCAAGATCCACCTAGTTCTCTCACTCTGTGTCCTAAGCCACACTTTTCAGTTCCTGCTTCAGCCTCACTGTTCCTCTAGTCACTTGTTCTTCTGACCCAACTGAGAGCTCTCAAGCAACTCAGGATCCCCGAAGGCAACTACTGGAGATTTAACAGAAAATAAATATTATTGGAAATAAAATCATTTAGTCTCACTTTAATAAAAATGGCAATTATCAAGAATACAAGCAATATTTAATGTTGGCAAAGATGTGGGTAACAGGTACATTACTGGTGGAACTGCAAGTTGGTGCAACCATTATGGAAAGCAATATGGAGATTCCTCACAATAATTAGAATGCAACTGCCATTTAACCCAGCTATGCTTTTCCTTGGCATATACCCAAAGAACTTAAAATCAGCATACTACTGTGATGAAGCCATATCAGTGCAGCTCAATTCACAATAGCCAAACTATGGAACTAACCTAGATGCCCTTCAATAGATGAATAGACAAAGAAAATATAGTATATATATACACTCTAATGTTACTCAACACTAAAGAAAAATGAAATTATGTAATTTGCACATATATGGATGGAGCTAGAGAATATCATGATAAGTGAAATAAACCCATCTAAAAAACCAAAGGTGGATGTTTTCTCTGATATGCGGAAGCTAATTCACATTACAGGGTGGATTGTAGAGAAAAATAGAGTTTCTTTGGATTAGAAATAGAGAATTGAAGGGAAAGGAGGCAGTATGTGGGTAGGAAGAATAATAGAATGAATCAAATATTATTACCCTGTGTACATGTGTGATTACGTGACAGGTGATAATAAGAAGCTACACTCCTTTTATGTATGATGTGGCAAAATGCTTTTTAATAATTTTATTTTTCTTTAACTAATGAGAAAAACTTTAAAAATAGAAGAAAGAATTAAAATTACTATATTGTACACTCAGCTATGCTTAGAAGACATTCTGAGCACCACAAGATATCTGTCTCCTCAGCCTATTCAGCCTCCATAAGAGAGACTCTCTATGTGAGGAGAAAAGAAAATGTTAAAATCCTTCTTCATAAGCATTAGTTTAAAAAAACTTTGTATTGTGCAGGTCATTTCAAATTGTTGTATTTTTATCAAAAACAGTAGAATCATTGAGTTTTGTATTAGAGTGTTACCTGACTTATGGCCAAAATTTTAGAATGCAGTTCATAGGGTCTGTAAAGATATGTTATTCAGTTTGTTTATTTATGTAAGTATGTGATACGTTTATATGATATTTCCTAAGTACAAGATGGTATTCGTTATTAAATTTATAATATCTCTGTACAGATTTCTATTCACATTGACTTAGAGTTAAATCAACATATGTAGAAACTAGATCTAACCAAACATTTAGAATACAGAGAAATAAAGAAATCCAAACAGGCTTCATGTGCACATGACTTGAATAAATCTTTGGTAAAAAAAGATTGCATTGACATTGGTTTAATGAAAAAAACTGTTTCTGAACAACCAGCATTAAGTATTTTATTAGCTTATATTTTCTTTCTGTATGTATTAAACAGTCACATAGTGTTAACAAGGAAATACCTTGAGATGATACTTGATTTTGCTGGTGTCATTGTATCTTCCCAAAAAGAGTGTTTGAAAACATTTGTCTTGATAACTTGATATATACTATTATGTGGTATATATTAATTACATACTAGCCCATTTCAAACTAAAATTAACCACTGAAACACTAATTAAAGAATGGAACCATGCATTTTTGTAATTTTGACATGGGGCTCTAACATATGTATTTGGTTTTGTTAATAAACACAAGATATACTTTGGTGACAAAATAGTCATGAATTCTAGGATTCCCTCCTATCTGCATTGAAAAACAAGGTATTTCTTATCAGGTCCAGGAACCTTAAATTATCCTAGAGACTATAGGTAAAGAGGAATTTATCAAAATCTGAGTATTAAAGGTAAATTCTGATGCCTGATTTGACTTCCCAGCCTTAAGTGGAGATTAAAATTCTTATTTGATACTCCTAGCAAAAAGATTCAGAAGGCAATTTCACAAAGCACTATGCAGTCAATTCCCATTCCATTTGTACTGATGTAAACAATTCTATAAATCCAAAACAGTTGAGACACATTTTGTCAAGAATAACCTTACTCACTTACTTTCTTAATAAGATTAAGAGATTGTAGGTAGATTTTGTTATAATAGAATGTTATAGCACATCTTTTTGTATTACTCTAACCTGTAAATTGGATTGGTTCATGTGTTCATCCTCGATGAATTTTTAATTCTGGTTTCCCTCATTATGTGGCTACAACTCACCAAACAAAACTACCATATTAGCCCCCGTCATCCTGACTTGGTCCATAGAGAATAATATCCTGAATTCTCAGATACTTATCTGACTCTCTAAAGTATCCCCCCCCCCTTCTGAAGCTGAATGCTTCTATTTCTGTGGTTGTGACGTTGATGTCTATGCCATCACCAAGGACTCAAAATTGAATGACAAATTTCACTGCATAATCATTGCAGACCATGTGCCAAATATTCTGCAAATGAACCGTGGGCATGTCTGAGCCAACTTGAACAGCTTCTTGCTTCTTGTTTTTCCTTGAAGAAGCCTCTGAAGAAATAAATTGCTTTGGTGTGTTTCACTAAAAATAAAACATTTACGGGCTTTTCCCTTTGTTAGGATCAGACCCATCAAGTCTCTTTCACTTGTCAATGCCCCACCTTTGAAAAATATTTTTCCTGCATCTTTTGTATTTATTTCTTGATATTACTTTTCTAGCTTTTTATGTCCAGCCAGCCCACACCTCTGAGGGTTAGAAATTCCTTCCCAGGCCAAGGGAGACAAATTTTTGTTAAAAGTGATGTGTAAACTTTATGTAAAACTTTTTAGTTAAACTGTTCTGATGTTACTTAATATCATTTATTACTAAATTGGTACAAGATTCGGATTCACAGAATACTTTTGATGTACCACAATGCAGTGGTGATGATTGTGTGGTGAAGTATGGTGTGTTCATTGCTCCTTTATTTCTCTACACATATAAAGAAAAATTAGGATAAATTGAAGAAAATCCTTACATATCTTTTTCTTTGCTCTAAAATCACTTATTAGATTAATTTCATCAGAATATTGCAAATTGTACCTTTAAATCATTCTTTATTGTTAAGAGTCATGTTTATTCCCTAATTGTTTATATATTTAGCTACATGTTTGATGAACGTATTTCTGTACATATTATGACATGAAATCATATTGTAAAATTGAGGTCCCTGTAGAATTTCCTGTGTATACCTGACTGTGACAGATTTCTTATATCACCTACTGGGTTTGGCAGGAAATTCACACAAGTGGGAGAATTCCACCAGGCCTTTCTCCAGTAGAGATTTGGTCACACTATTGAATAACTCACTTCAGTGTCTTGAAATTTCTGAAAAAAATGCTTCCTGAAATTGTCCTGGAATTATCCTAACAGGTGGTTTCTGATCCTTTGCCTTATATATTCTATACAAGAATAATTGTACCTTGTTCAATAAAGTCCCTAATTCAAAAATGAAATAGAGATCCAAAAGTTTTTTTGAAATCTTGTCAATTTCCACACTTTTCTTAATGTTTCTGTTTTCAAGTCACTTTTTTCTGTTTTCATCTGTGAAATGATATTCACATTCTCAAAAACCACATAGTATATTTCATTCTCTAACCACTGGTTAGGCTTTGTTTGAAAAAAAAAATATATCTTAAGCAACAACATGAAATAACTTCACATTTGTTGCAGGTCCCATATTGTCTTCAACATTGTTTAAAATTATAATTTTAACTTGATTATGTCTTCTTCGTGATGAATGCATTATTCCTGTGACTCACATGATACATCCAGATAGTTCGTGTGTTCAGATGACTTTTAGTAATGTAGCCAATTTTATTTGCTATTTATTCTCACTGATGCTCTGCTTAAATACTTCTTCATCCCTTTTATGAGAAATTTGCCTATTGTCTTTGATTTATTTATTTATTCATTCATTTTTTAAATTGTGTGCATACTTATATGATTAACTGAAATATCCTCAGATTACAGACTAACCACTGAGAAGACTGGTTCTTCTCATTCTACAACAACCTTTAAAATTCAATTTTAAAATTTTATCATAAAAATTGGAATAATATAATAAACAGAAATTTTCTTAAAAATAAACTACTTGTTGTTTCAAATTTAAATTTATTTAACTTTTATGTGGTTTAAGGTCTAGAGATAGAATTCAGTGTTCCAGCATTTGCTTAGTAATTAAGAGGACCTGGGTTCCATACTTAGATAACAAATACATATAAATTTTCATGTTTTTGTTGTGTTTTGTTTTCTATTCTTACAACTAAGTGCATATATATGGCACATATTTATAGATATTTAGGCACATATTATATATGCCTATTCATCCTCCAAGAAAATATCAATCTTATTTAATATATATCCCTCATTTTCCAAATATATTTGCATAATGGCTGAAAATGAGGTTGAGTATTCTTGGATAAAATGATTGTAATTGTATAACATGAAAAAAGTATATATTTTACATCATTCCTCCATGTTGTATATCTAAATGATTTCCAATATTTTTTATAAATAAATGCTATAAATATGATTACAGCATAACATTTTTGTCTGTATAATTTCCAAAGTCATGAAGCAAATAGAGCTAGGCATTTTTATTTTTGTGTAATACTTTGTAAATTTTTTGCTTTCCCATAACAGTTATACAGGTTTTGGAGATTTGTGTGATAATTCAACATATGTATATAAAGCTAAATTATCAAATCAAAGTAATTAGTACCTGTGCCATCTTAGGCATTTATCATTTTTTTTCTGCTGGGAACATTTCAAACCCTTTCTTCTAGCTATTTAAACCATACAAAAATTTAGAAAATGTGCATTTTTTCTGATTTTTGCTATATTTTCCAAATATATTATTCTTCCAAATATATAGAAATGTCTGAGAATCTAATGGTGTATGGTGAGAACGCACATTGGAGCTATAAATATTCATATAGGTCTGACAATCACTGATGTGGATTTGAATTTTATTTATGAAACTTCATTACCACAACAGCCTTTCTTAAATATTATGATTAGTCTGCTAATCATCCTCTTTCTTGTCCTCTTTTATCTGTTATCTTAATTTTTCTATTGACACTGTCATTATCCCTTTATCTAAATGGAGAAATATTTTACCCAAGTGTTTGGCAGTTCAGACTGTTTGTTTCACTGCTTGTGGAATGAGGGGTGACCATATTGGATTTTAAACTTTTAATAAGATCAGATTTTATGCTGCTACTGAAGATGTAGCCAAAAAGTCTCTTAAATGATCACATAATGAAGCAGTAAAAAATGCTTGCTTTCCAACTGTGTTATTAAGGTGTGATATTCATTAAAATACATTAATTTTTTGCTTCATTTTAAGATATATAATTCTATAAACTTATAGATCTGTTCATAATTATAAACTCAGGGCAGCCTACAAATTCAAGTCTTACAAATTAACAAGTATTATTAAAAATCCACAATTTGCACTCCATGTTACCTGTGCAATATATATTTTTTCTAATATTGTTGTTCAGCAGTTATGCTATGGAGACCCATGATCTCTCAGGGAGTATTCTTGAGGCACCCTATAGACTTGGGGTAGACAAGAAACACTTCTGGTCTTCCTTATCATAACATTTCCCACACAATTTCTCTTTCTTGTGCACAGTCTACATTTCAATGGGGAATGGAAGGTGTTTGTGGCAGAGACTGTGCTACTTTGTTTCTCCGCATATTCAGCACTTTCCTGTGGTACATGCTAGTCCCTTCTCAATATTCTTTCAGAGAATGACTGGTATTTTTTTTTTATGTGTTGAATAATGAATTTCTACATTTAACTCACCCTATCCTTGAAAGGTCTTCTTCTGAAACAAAGATAAAATTTACATATTTGTGATAGTATAGATGTGAAAGATTTCAATATATAGGTCTCTTTGCTCCATTTACTATAATTCTGTAAATGTGATTAAGCATTCTGAATGAGGAAGAGAGAATAACTCCTGGTGAAAATGAAAGGATGACAGAACCAACTAAATGGAAACAAGTTTACCTTAGGCAGAGATTTGGCAGGTCTGCAGTGGAGTCCTCCAACAATATCTACATTTGGTAGGGTTGAGTGAGAAAATTCCAAATCCCAGTAGGTGCAAATAAGCCAGATATCTGCTTTAGCCATTGTCTCTGCCAATATAGTGGGTCATCCTGAACAGGAAATAGAAGACTAAATCTATAGAACATTGGGAAGTTTTTGTGCAGATAGGAATACGCCTCATGTTGGAAAGAACTTTCAATAATGAAGAAATATATGTTTAAAAGTGTGTTTAGTTTTGTGCCTCAGATGAAGCACTAATCTCCAGGATATATAAAGAACTCAAAAACCTGAAAACCAAAAAAACCCCAAATAACCCAATCAATAAATGTGCTAAGGAACTGAACAGACACTTCACAGAAGAAGAAATACAATTGATCAACAGATATATGAAAAAATGTTCATCATCTTTAGCAACTAGAGATGCAAATCAAGACTACTGTAACATTTCATCTCACCCCAATCAGAATGATGATTATCAAGAATACAAGCAACAATAAATGTTGTTGAGAATGTGGGGAAAAATGTACATCCATTTATTGCTGGTGAAACTACAAATTGGTGCAAACTTTATGAAAACCAATATGAAGATTCCTCAGAAATTTTGGGATGGAACCACCATTTGACTCAGTTATCCCACTCCTTAGTTTATACCCAAAAGTCTTATAATCAGCATACTACAATGATGCAGTCACATCAATGTTCATAGCCACTCAACTCACAATAGCTAAACTATGGAACCAACCTAGATTCCCTTCAGTAGATAAATGAATAAAGAAAATAATGTACATATATACATGGAATATTAATCAGTCTTAAAGAAGAATAAAATTATGGCATTTGCAAGTACATTGAAGGATGCTAAGGGAAATAAGTCAAACTCAAAAAAAAAAAACAAATGCCAAATGTTTTCTCTGATAAGCAAATGCTAATCCTCAATGATGGGAAGGGAAGAATGAAGGAACTTTATACTTTGCAGAGAGGTATGAGGGAGTGCAAC